TAGTATGAAATACCTAGCTTCTCTTTATTTGACAACTTTAAAAAAAATACAGCCAAGGAAAAAACGGTAGTGGTCCCAAGCAGGGACTCTTTGTGGTATATCTGATCACTAGTGACTAAAGGAGAATTAAGGCAGAAATGATCCTATGTTTGGCATGGACTACTCTTTTGACGAGAGCCCTTACTGTTACACCAGTCAACTGCTGTGATTTACGCTGCTCATCTTATGATGAGTGCATGCCTTTAAAGACAGGAAAACTAAAAGAGTTGGTGTTCTGCTTTCCGATTTCTTTAATAAGTAGCAGGGCAGGAGAATGTGTGTGCAGCTTATATAATATCTCCTAGAAATTATAATAAATATTTATTGGAATAAAATAGGTGCCCTCCAAGCTTAGTCCCATTTTTCTAATATAATCTGTCATCAGAGAACTCAGTGGTTATTAATTGACATCAAGTTAGTGTCACTTTCTGTCTTTGATCTCACAGTATAGAGATAATGGGGAATTTAATATACTGGTGAAATTCTGTAAACTGAAGAATCCATTATAAGGTGCTACTGTTTTAGGTCTTCCAGCCAGGAATTTACTATGCCTCAGCCATGGAGATCATCAGCTCTGTTGCCAGTGAATAATAGCGTGGCTGTGCTTGGCAGAGCTTTACTTTATACCATCACTGAGAGAAGTAACTTAAGAATCTATCAGAGGGTAGAACCGATTGAGAAGGGAGACATGACAAACAAAGCTTCACTTGCATATCAAACCGGTATGGTCTGAAATGGAGTTCTGGTCACAAAGGGAGCGAGCGTTCTGATTTTCTGCAAGTAGTTCAGTGCCTCTTCTAGACCTACAGTCAAAGTGCAAAGTTTTTGGTGTTCTTCCCCAGTAAGTAAGTAACCAAAAATATCTTGAAGTAATGCAAAGGAAGTCCACATTGGTGGAATGTACAGGAATTTCTAGAAATAAATTCCTTCAAGGTGTAAAGAGTTATCTGTGATAACCTAACAGCTTGGCATAAAAATGCCTCTCTCCGTAAAATAAAGAGGGACCAAAGGTCTTAGTTGAACACTTTGTATTTTTGCAAACAGGAGTTGATGATTGATAGGACCATTCATAAATGGTGAAGACTTCTGCCACTTTCTTGGTGGAAGGAGTTTCTTGTCAGAGGGAAAGCGCGTAAGTCAGCATGATGTCCTTGAAGTCAGAGTAATGCAACCCATTCACTAACCCATTGAAATTCACAGCCAGTGGCTCTCTAGAAAACATTTAACCTGAAAGCGTGTTTGCCTAATTTGTCTAAATAACGATTAAATCTTTAACTAATAAGATAGTTAAGAAACAATTCATGGCATTAATTGGTAACGTCCAGACATTTAAATACTTGTTATCTTTGCTTTTTGTTTTTGAAAACTTTCAGTTGGAAATGAGAAGGGGAAGAAAATAGAACAAATTGAGCCATCTGTCCTGAAAATCTGTAGATATTTTTAAAAGTGCCCTGTTCTGCAGAGGGACAAACTTGTGATCTTAGAAAGGAAAACCAGCTTTGAATGCTGCCTCAGCCTAGCTAGTAAGGTTGTAGTGAGGAACCCACTTGGAAGAGGAGGCATCCACATTCAACTGTTGGTCCTCCCTAATTCAGAATAAAGTGGGGAGATCAGTGATTTTAGTCTGCCTTTCCCTTATCCCAAGCGGGCTTCCTTAAAGTTTCAATTTTCAGTTCCCACACTTTTCTAGGAGAAAAATGTTGACGTTCATATAACCTTAAGTCTTACGTATTCAACTGGGTTCCCTTCTGTGTAGTACATACCTGTCTTTTTTTTTTTTTTAAAAGCTATTTTTGCAGGAGTTTGATACTCATATAAACTAAAGTGATACTGACATGTAAATTCCTGTCATTTGCTTTTTACCACGTGAATTTTTCTAGCTGTAACACAGCATAATTTCTTCTACTTGCATGTTGCTAAATCAAAGAACACTTTACAGTAAGCACCATTCCCGACACGGTCGGAAGCTAAACAGATTTGTAAGTTTTAGTGCAGGACACAAATGTACTTGCTCTATCAGGCCCCATCCAAAGCTCAGTAAAGTTAAAAGGAGTCTTCCAGTCCCAAACCCACATATTTTTCAGACCTAGGCCAACAAACCACCCGAACAACACGCTTGAGTGTTGTTCCACATGAAACACAAATGTTTACATCTGACGTTGATAACTGAAATAACATAGGGTGTTGTCTTCAAAACATCGCAGCCGTATTTTAAATTGAATATAATTACTGTACACCTTAAGAATTAATCGCTGATCAGCAGGTAGTAAGTAATTTACATTAAATAGGTGATTTACCTGGGGAAGAGGGGGAGATGACTGGGGTGCGTTCATATGAATTTAGAAAGCCATAGGAAAGATTTATAAGTATGACTAATACGGAGCAGTGGGGTTTCCTGATAAGCCCTCCAAATAACTACCCCTCCGGCTAATTTGATAAAGCTATTTTTCTTTAAGTACAGCATGAAATGAGAAGAAAAAAACCCGTATTTAATCATGAAAGATTGAAAGAAAACTGATGGAAGTGATTTTTAATAGGAAAATTTGTGTATCGGTCAGAAGTAAAGATTGCAAAAGAGAAAAAAATCATGTTAATTTGTCACGTTTATATTCCTGTCAAAATGATGTTAATATGTTCATGATGTATCAAGCATTTAAAAACTTGTAATGAGTTATAATTTGCAGCTACTGAATGTTAAATTGAAACATTTAATGAAGTTGATGGGACTAATCTTTTTAAAGATGCAAAGCATGTTACTCTGCAACGAGTTTTTGCCAGGCTAGTTATTTATTAGACTAATTATTTATATGAACTGCTTTTTAGAGGAGCCTGTATGTCACGTTGAGTAGCTCCTCACTGGGTTTCCCGACTTACTTTCTCTGCACTAGACATTTTGGAAAATTTTGTTGCCATACGTGTTTTAGTACTGTAGGTTTATACCCCACCCAACAGTGCATTAAATCTGTCAGCTGGCTCAAAAAGCAATTATTAATGATGTTCATAAAACACATCTTTTCTTGAGAGCTGCAGCGAGGCAGCAGATGTATGTATATTTGCAGCACCTAGGTGAAGAACTGGGAAGGTGTAGTTCTTGCTTTGATTTTGTGCTATCCAAATTGAAGAATTACCCTAGTAGGGATAGCGCTCTTCCAATTTGATGACTGAAGATGCATCAGAGAGAACAGTTTCTGTGCATAATGTTATACTGTGAAATTCATACAAGACTTGATTCATATCTTTGCGCAGCTCATGTAATAATAGGGTTGCGTACCTGAAGCTCTTCCGGTTGTTATTGGTGAGGAAAACAAGCATAGACTGCCGGACAGGGATTAAAGCCTATATGCGTGCAGAAATGAAGTTGATGCTTTTGAAATAGAGCTTAAAGTGCTGCAACCATTTGGATTCCAGCAAAGACCAGACTACAGGCTGTCTGTCAAGGCAAGAAATTTAGGCCTTTCATAGACTTCTTAATGCTTTATAGGAACATAAGATAAGTTGAAACTTTGAGTGCTAGTGGGATGGTCAGGAAGTGAAAAATGAAGTAACAGGGGATAGAAGCTTTAGTAGAAGGAAGAATTTCATGTGTAAGCCTTGCCTTAAGGTCAGGACACCAGGTCAAGCTAATTAAAACAAAGTTAGTACAACTTAGTAATTTTTACCTTTGCTTGCCATATACATAGTAGAACAACTTCATGCTTTAGTCACATGCAGTGTCATTTCTCAAGCTTTTAAAATTATTTTAGAAACCTGATAAGCAATATAGCTGGCGTAACATTTACGTCCTTGCCCTGAAACTGTTTTCTGATACTGAACACATGGTGCAGAGGTTCCCGTGTGCAGGTGCACTAGGGCCCTCCTGTCCTTGGAGCTTAGTTTCTGCAGCTTCAGAAGGTCTGTTCCCACCAGGCCTGACTGCCTGCTACTTTATATGGCATTAAGACTTGGGAATTTTTAGTATGAAGGTGCTGTCCCTTTAATAAACATTAAAATGCCACTTCTTTAGATTCATGATTTTTGTACTGCATATATCAGCCTAACTTTTTTTTTTTAATCTTTATTGCTTATTTATGCTCCAAATTTAAATTGTTAAGTGCTGGGTCTCTGGAGGAGTTTCATTTGACCCGCCCTAAGTCTCTGGATATCACTGGGAGTCCAGAGAAGAATTTGGACAATTATTAATTTTCTAAACTATTATTGTACTGACTCAACACTTTCTTTGGTCAGGTAGCTGCTTCACTGTTTGAGTGACTGGGTTTCCTTTCTTGCAGCAGTTCAGGTAAATCCAGGTCCCTTCATACATGCTTCTTTACTTGTAAACATTTTTTTTTTTAAACAAGATACAAGTGGTAGTTAGCTGGATGCCTCTCTCAGACTTCTTTTGCAGCAACTTGCTCACCTCTCTGACCTTAAATCTGCTAGCAATAAACTGCAACAATCTAACCGCATAATCCAACAACTACAACATCCATTTTTTGTTTCTATGATTTACACAGGAACACATGCAAGCCAAAGCTATATTACTTCTCCAAATTGTGTGTGTGTGTGATTTTTCTGCAGATGTTGAGTATGGCAGTCAAAAATATTTAGCCCCTTAGGGACGTGTAGCTCTCTTCGTATTCTAGCATGTTAGATTTCTGTTTCTCCACCTCTGCGCTCTCACCAGTTCATACTTGGTTTGACAGTAGGACAAAATAACCTCACTAGTGATCTAAGACCTTGAAAGGCAATCTTTAAAATTCCACTGGCTGAAAAATTGAAGACGCTAATGCCTCATCTGAGAGCAGTCTGGACTTCTTGGTTGGGTTTTTTTGGTTTTGTTTTGTCTTTGTGGGAAAGAATTTCCATTAAACGCAAGTCATTTTCAGCTTGAGTGACAGTACGTGAAAAAACCCACCAAAGTTCTGCCACATAACGCAAGTGTTATATAAACTACATGGTTTAACGATTACACATTTCAGTATGCAAGTTTCATGTTGTTTTCTTTGTTACAAATGTGACTGAAGTATCCAAGTCATTGTTATTTTGTTGTTGTAGCCGGAATACGTATATGTTTAAATAGAATTACTAACGTCTGCTCTAACAAATCTGTTTCTGAAAACTGGAAGTCAAGACACAGGTTTTCTGCCTAGCTTACCTGTTAACATAACACCTTTCTCTAACAATCATACATCCAGAGCGTAGTGCCTGAAGTAAACTGGAATAGCAAATGGCATGCACGTAATTGAAAGCATTGTATGTGTATACATTCAATAGCCTGCTTACATATATAGCTGTTTTCCAAATAGTTTGGAGCATTACTGACCTCAAAGAGCAGAATGCATCTCTGAAGAGAACTGCAGGTTTTCAAATTTCTAATGAAAGGCCTATTAAAAGCCATCGAAGTGGTGAGAGTGAGAATGTGGGGCCCTCTGTAACAGTGTTCACAAGTTCTGTGGGCGCTTGTCTCGTCCTGTGGAACATCATGCTGCCTGTGCGTGCTGAATATAACTGAGCGCACAAATCTAAGCATAATGCAGGTTATTATGAAGAAAAAGTTGCTTTTACTGTTGTAGTTAGGGGAGCTTTTCTCAAAACTTACCTTGATAAGAGGACCTGGAATAATCTGTAGTGATTCATTTGGGCTTGTTGTGCCTCGGATATTTCTTCTGTGCTGGTTTGCGCCTTACTGTTTTAAACTATGTTATCCTAACTGTTAGTTATTTTTGCAATGTGGCATTTATAACATCAGGTCTAAGTGTAAAGTACAGTATTAGCAGGTGGAAGTGAAAACAGGCGCTCCTAAGCCATAACTGTGGTAGCAAGCAAACATTGCTAGGTTTTTGAATGCGGTTGTCCTGCAACAGTGATTTGTGACTTATTTATTATTAAGTGGTTGGATGGTGCAGAAGTGGAAACAGTACTGGGTTGAACAGGCGGAGGGGGAGTTTGGCAGATTTCTGCATTGCCCTGGGGAAGCTGCCGAGCTATGCTGGGATAGAGGTAGTCCTTGTTCTGCTGAAGCAGCTTTGAAGAGCGTTCTGCTTTAGAAAAGAGCAACAAGAAGTGTCTTGTTCTTTCCGGTGCAAATCTTTGAGGCCGTCGTTTCTCTACGATGCCATTAACTTCCACACAACCCCTCTCAAAAGAGAAAGATTTTATCTGTTTTAGTGGAAGCTGGAGGCGGGACAGAACACACTAAACACAGAATGCTGCAGACATATCTCAGTCTGGAAAAAATTAGTTTTAGGTTTGCTTTCAAAGTTTAGAATAACCCTGAAAGAAACTATAGATCATTAATGTTTTCTATTAAAGATCTCATTATAAAGTGCAAATATGAGTCAGACTTGTTTGGGATGCATACTTGGGGAGGAAACATGCAGTGCATTTTTAGTTGTCTGGATTTTCTTAGAAGACATTTTGTTCTACGGATTTATTATTACTTTGCTGTATGCTGTTTGTAATAGAAATAGTGGTCTAGCAGATTGTCGTTCTCAGGGAAAAATTTCTGAAAATAATTACTTGATTTGAAAGCTATTTTTTTAGAGTATTATGAGTATTGTATACTCGAGGTACAGAAAAACTTAACTTTCTCTTAGGAGAGAAAGATGGGAAGGGAATCTTCCTGAAGGCCAAACTGGTTGGTTTCGAGGCCTTCCTGGATACAGAGCTTTATGCATGTGAAAGTTAAATGTCTGTCCGATTCAAAGATTTCTAGGTGCAGTTTGATCATATCTGGTCATTTTGGTGTGTAGTTCTCAAGTACAAAAATCTTAGCATTATGTCGGGAATTTTATATTGCCCTGTGAATAAAGGGAATAATTGTTTCACTGTGAAAAAGTTAAAATACAACCTAGGCACCACAGGCATAAAGGCTACTGATTACCAGTGTCTGGAGAGCCATTCATCAAAAAAATCCTGATGTGCCTTAGTATGTACTGTGTAATTCCATTCTTAGGTACTGGAATGGATATGATAATTGGTCCTGCTACTGGAGACATTGGGTTAAATTAAATTGTCATTTAGTATTAGAATATCCATATGTCGGTTCTGGCATCTGTTTTTATGTTCATTTTCCAGTTCGCCTCTTGCACAGGAAGCATTATGACTGTCTTGAAACATTATCTTAAAAGCTCCGGGAGAAGATACACAAGAGCTTTCCTACTTCCTCATCTTTTCTGGAGTGGGCTACAGGCTTACAGGAATGTTTTCGTGGCAGGATGTTTCATACACAAAAATATTGCATGCTTGGGGGAGTGGGACTATTGGTGGGAAGACAGTTGTTTTGTTTCCACAAAATGTTTAGTGTACATAGATTAGGAAGAAATATATATTTAAACTGGAAGACAGTCTAACATTATCCCATTTTTCTCAGTTGCCTGAAAGGAAACCTAGTTTTCCTATTAACAGTGGTTGGTTATAGGGAGGAAAGGAATCAAACATGTATCTCTAAGTAACACGCTTCTAAAAAGAAGAACCAATTTAAGCTTGTGCAAAATCCTATATGGACCTTATTTTGGTTGAAACACAGCAAGTTTAGCACAGCCTGCCTTTAATCCCTGAAACGTCTAAACTAGCTTTTATTTTAGTTTTGGCTATCATCATGAGATCAACTGATAGCAAACGTCAGTAAAACAATGTACAACTGTTTCATCTTTGAGGAAGAATGTCTGTTGTGGATTTAAATTAAAAAATACAATTTATTTTTAAGTACTAAAGAACAGCGCAAATATTTCCATCCAAAATAATCACTGAGATTTTCCTTCTGCGTTCTGAATAAAGAATTATCTGAAAGTCTTGAATTCTAAATCCCTCCATTCAAAAGAAATGTTGAATATCTGTAAAAAGAAATTAGATTTCTAGAGCTAGCTGGAATAAAGTCCATAAGAAAACATCTGCCTTCTAGGAAGAGACTGTTAAAACTCTGGTCTTGGAAATGATACCTAGTGGGATGTAGTTCAAGTAATTCCTGTCCTCCCTCTCCTCTTCAGGCCAGGCTCTATAGACTGCATGCAGCTCCTTTGATCAGTTGCCTCCTAGCTTACTGAGTGGTGGTGCATCTTGGAAGGTGTGTCTTAGTTTAGAGAAGCCTCTTGTTGTTTGTGTACGCGATGTCCCATTTTCTGTCACTTCTGGAGACGCTGTAGTGCTATTTCCAAACAGATCTTTTTCTCTGTTTTCAGAAGTTTCAGATTTTTACAAAATGTTTCTGCAGAAGCCAGATGTTTTTCATTATTTTTAGTTTAAAAACTCAAGTTATCCAAAAACTACAAGAAACTTCATTATGGTGGAGGAAAGAGGAAATCTTCAACCCTGCAACGCCCCTGCGTTACTCTAGCCTGTGCTGATATTTATTCATAAGGATCTACATCACTGAATGCCCTCAGCAATCATGAGGCAAAACTTAGTTTCGCTTAAATGTTTGGTTTGTGAGCCAAGTTCAAATCTTGATTTGCCGAAAGTTGAAAGTTATACTGGTTAAATTGTATTAGTTCAACTGTTAACTGGGGTGACATTGCATTAGCTCTTTTTCTTTCCTGTCTGCTATCATTTTTGTGTACCCTGCTCCTCTCCAAAATCAGTTCTCTCAGTAATTTATACCTTCTGTGACTTATTTCATGATATTCAGAACCTAGATATTGTGCTCTGCTCTCCTCAGAAATACTAAAATACTCCATCTGAAATTGTTTGTTTTTTTCCTAGGTTATACAAGGCCAGATTCAAAAGAGTAATTTAGGGCTCAGTTCTGTTCTTGTGTATTTATGTGCTCTTTATGATCTCCCAAACCAACACATAGGCGAACACGGGTCCTTTGATAAACACAAAGCAACTTTTATTTCCTTTTTGGGTTCTTGCTTTTCATTCTAAATATACATTGTAGATAATCCTCACAGGAAACCTGTTGGTGTTAAAATTGCTATACTGCCTTTGTCAGCCACTTTGTACACTAGATGGATTCTTTTAGATCAGTAATAGATAGTAGTGACAGACACTAGCGGAGGAGTTAATTTGGATGAGTAATACAGGTAAAGGTGTACAAGATATTGTGCCAGGTAGGTCCCACACACGTAGACCTATTTTCTACTCCAACATACTTAAAATATTTAATTACGTTTGAATAATACATTACTAAAAGTAATATCACACCTTCTGGCTATGTTTTGAGGGGGGAGAAAGGAGGTTATGCGTGTGTGTGTGTGTGTGTGTGTGTTTTTTTCCCTACCGTGAGAAAGACAAAGAATTTAAGATAATACGGTCTTGAAAGCTAATAGTCTTTCCCATTATCAAGACCAGAAGTTTTGGAAACTGAAATCTGTCTTTGCTGTTTGCAGGAGTGAAAGAGCTCGCTGGATTACGGTGCTTGGCAAGAACAGGGACCTGCAGAAAACAGACAGGACAAGTAAGACACAGCTAATAAGATTTCTGAGGGTTTTGACATGAGAACAGAAATACACTGCCCCTTAGTGGAGCCTTGAGCAAGTGTAGATTATAAAAATCCTAAAAAAGTCATCCTTGCTTTTTTCTGGGCTCTGTTGGTCTAGTTGCGTGAATTTGTCCTCTTCTTTGAGCATAGCAAGATTCCTTGAGGACTGCTCTTGTGTGCAGCAATTTCAGCATGCGTTTGTGAACTCCGGTTTGATTAGCTGTTTCGCCTTGTTAGCACAAGTGCAAAAATCACTTACGTATGTAACCCAAGTGTGCTTGAGTGTAATTGCTCAAGTAGAAAACCATTTGCTTAAATTGCTACCTTGCTTGAGGTGTTGTAGAGAATATTCCAAGACGGACATTTTTTAAATAATAGCATAAAGTTGTTTGTTTTGTTTTGGTTGGGTTTTTTTTTTTTAGTGAAGATAACCTGTTTATTATGTGCACTGAGTAATTCTGCATGGCTTATTGCTTCCACAGCTTTGACTCAGGTAGAGATCACCAGAACTTACACAGCAAAGCAGTCAGATGAACTGTCTCTTCAAGTTGCTGATGTTGTTTTGGTTTATCAAAAAGTAAACGATGGTGAGTGAACGTTTTCCTGTTAGTAACCATCTGTCACTATTGCCGCTGAATCCAGCTAGAATTTGTTTCCCTGAACCTGAACCTGTAGGTTCAGGCTTTAAAGGACAGCCTCTGTTTAGGCAAGAGATGTTTAAAGTAACTCATCATCTGTCAAAACTTTATATAGATAAATAATTGCAGATGGAAAGGATGTGCTGGTTGTTTCTGACATGTGCAATGTCCACAAATAATAAATGGAATTAACTTCTCCCTATAAACAGGGCTCTCAAAGACGCTATAGGGAGTACCAGGTTTGTCTGAGTAACAGCAAACATGCAAGTTATTTGTCATGTCATATACTGTACTTCACTGCCTGTTAAGTATAAGGGTCTAATGAGGCAATGACTCCTTCATAGTAAGAGGAGTTTTTGTGCAAGTGTTCTGTTCAATAATAAGTGTTTTCGTGTAAGTAAGTGTTCCATACCACCAAGTACCATGAGATCTAAATTGAGTCTTGCCGCCTAGATATGCCAGTGATTCCAGTGACCTCTCATAATGGGCAAACTCAGTGACGCTTGAAGCTCTCAGCACTTACTTCAAATATTAAAGTCTGACTTAATGCAGTTAGTTATTCAATAACACATAGGAAATCAACGATCCTGTCTGTTGTGCCTGCATTGCTTGCTTCTTTGGATTGCAGAAATAATTTATTTCAAATGTATGTGAAATATAAATATAATCTATAGCAAGCTGTTTATTTTTACTGTTTTGTTGTTCCTAGTCTGCCTGCACAAAAATCCTGTCTAATATAGCTTTGTCCTATACTTCATGCGCTATAAAGATAAATGCATCCTTTATATGATGATAGTAGCAACTGTCTCTATACAAGTGTAACACACACAACAGTTCTGAAAAAAATACCTGTGAAATTGCTTGTAAGATCTGTTATTCCTTGTCTGTTCATCCTTACAGGTTGGTATGAAGGGGAACGATTGCGGGACGGCGAGAGAGGTTGGTTTCCCATGGAATGTGCTAAAGAGATCACGTGTCGTGCCACGATTGACAAAAACATGGAAAGGATGGGACGTTTACTTGGACTTGAAACAAATGTTTAGACAATTTTTTTTTTTCCCCTTCTTCCTACTATTTCTTTACTACAGCATTTGCACTAACTGCTGTCAGTGGGGGCATGGTTGCATGCACTGCAGCTCTAGCACGGAAGATGTGAGTCAGAGACGCACAAAGTCTAGTAACAGAGGACCGGTCATCTCCCTAGTTTTGCATTTTGAGAGAGATCCGAACTGAAACCTGGCTCAACCAATAGCACATTTCAACTACAAGTAGTTTCTTAGGTGTTGGAGATCAACCCTCTGTTCTTTAGACTTCTTTTTTTTTTTTTTTTCCCCTGCCTCTATCAAATGGCTTACTATGTATCTCAGCTCATTTCTTCCAGGAATTCTTTTTTCCTACCTATCCTTGACCCCTTGTCTACACGTAAACTACCCTACCAGACTCTCTTATCTCTGAATCCCCTTTTTGGCAGTATAGTTGCTTTTCCAGTATCTTGTTGGATAGGCTGCACTTGCCGATTGAGGGCCCCGTTTTTTAAGTCTCAGTCATTACAAGCTGCAGAAGATATCCATATGAATCACATGTAAGTATGTTCTTCCAGCTAGTTTCAACTTCACTCTTAAATGCCACAACACTCTGGTTCAGAATTTAATGTCCAAACTTGCAGTTTGTTTAGGTATTTATTTTTCAAAGAACTCTAACTGCTGGAAGTGTGTCCCTTTTGTTTCAGGTTTTCCCTGCGTCTTTAACTAGGACTTCAAATTACGTTATTGCCTGCAGAAAACAAAGTTTGGGAGTGGTTTTGTTTGTTTGTTTTTAAACTTTCTGCTCTTCGGTACCAGAGGCGATGGATTGGTTCTTTCTGCGGAGGCAAAAAGTTCAAATGAACTTGAGTTTACCTTCAGCTTTAGCCTGATCCTGTTGAATCCACAGGCCAAACAAAAACAAACAAACAAACAAAAAAAAGCAGCAGCGAGTTCTTTAGTGGGTGGGTGTGTTTGGTTAGTTTGGTTTAAGCTGCCAGGTCTTCTCATCGCTATTGTATAAATGGTAAGAGGATGAGGAAAGCTGTGGAAGTAGATAGATCAGCACCTTGATTAATTTCGTATTTTGCTATCTCTTTGCCTTCCCATACAGAAATGTGACAATGCTATTGGATGCTTCAGCCAAGTGATAAGGAGGGAGGGAGAATGATAGATAAAATAATACTTGGACCTTGTTGTCAGAGTAGCTCAAATTGGTGCTGCTTCACACATGCTCTTCTCTGCTTTAGAGAAGACTTGTCACAATTGCACTACATGCAACACCAGCACAATTTTGCATCAGCAGTTTAGCTTCGGAATTTCACAGAAAAAAACAACTACTTAACGTTGTGTGAACAAAATGCACTCAAAAATGAGGTAGATTCCAGTGCATCGTTTCTGTATATAAGTAAGTGTGCCAGTTTGCATGCTCTATGTATTATAAAAAATCTTCATCTTTTTAAGGACCAGCTGATGACTCAGCAGGGTTGAATACTTGTTAAATAAGCAATGAGGCAAAAACTTGTACAAAGGCCTTCTTGTCACATTTCCAGTCCTTTTTTTTTTTTTTTTTTTTAAACAGGGGGTGTATGCTGTTTTATATACTGTAATATGTTGGAGATTTGATTTGTGAATGAATTTGATGTTAATAAATGTATCTCTGTAACAAAAATATACTAGGAAGGCAGTACTTTTGTACAAAAGAACATTTCAGTCTGACAAGTGGGTTATACAGCCTTATAAATTAATTTATAAGTGGACTGACAGAACAGTAATAAAGATAAAACCTGTAAATTGAACAAGGTTATTTAACATAGTAAAAATACTGCTAATATTTTAACAAAAATATTATTGTACACAGGCAGATGTTTAATACATAACTGAATGTGTAAATGCAGACATTAATTATATTCAGATTTTTTAAATACATTGTATATATTTTTCATACTTAGTTTTTCCAAAAAATGTTGTAATTTTTTTAAAGCTATTTTTCATTTTTCCTGTTCTCAGACACAGTTCTCCAGGAATTAAAGACAGCCTGTGATTTTTATAGGACAACAATAAAATGCTTTTAAATCTTTACTAAGAAAAGTTTCAGTTTTTTTCTTCAGAAAAACACCAGTTTAATTGTTAATGTCCTTCTTGTCATTAAAATTAATTCTCCTCTTTAACCTGAGGGGGATGTGGTCAATTTCCTAATCTGTAAAGATAAATAGGATACATAATGCTGCTATTTTGTAAACTATCAATCCACTGTACTTGTATTCATAAGAATTTGGTGCAGCGACATACAACACTTGCCTCTGCACTAGGTAAGAGTCCATAGAGATGTGTGGTAGAAGACAAGGAGCAAGTGGCCACAGGAAATGGGATAGGGGAACAGGGAAGTAGGAACATGGTCACTGATACGTGGTCACACTCCTCAAGTACCTTTGCTTTCTAGGAGCGTCTGAAAACCTGGCTCTGGGATGAGGTACATCTTGCATGCCTGCCTCTTCTGGAAACTGCCTGACTGCACAGAAAATAACTCAAAATTAACTGGATGGAATGACTAAACAGGACTCAAGTGTAGAGCCCACACTCAATGGAAATGCTGGATCCAGTTCTAACTCTGACTATGGCTGCGTTATTTATTAGTTAATTAAAATACAATAATTGCAGAAGACTAACACATCACTGCAAGCTGTAGGTTAATATATAAAGACAGACCATCCTTCATACTAAGACTACACCATATCCAGGAGGAGCTGTAAGGCTTCAGCTCCCTAAGGTATGCCGACACCTCGCACACAGTCTTACTTCAGCAGCCTCTGCACTACAGCTGTTTCCCTTTGAGCTCTAGGACGTTTGGGAGTATTGTTTTAAAATGCAGACAGGTAAAAATATTCATGCATATTCGGTTACAAAAAGGCAGAGGTGGTGGTGTATTTCAGCCTAAATTCAAAGTGTTTAAATTATACACAATCTCGGCCAATAAATGTGTTTAATCAGAGTAAGAAGCGAAATCTCAGTTTTACACTTAACACTGAGCCAAAACCAGTATTGACTACTGGAGAAAAAAACCCTCTCCCAAAGTTCTCTTCTTGGTGAACCTGTATGCCTAAATTGGGACTGTGGATTCTGGCAGGCCATTAAGCACCCAATCAGACACACAGTGGCCACCTAAACTTAACCTGACTTTAGCATTTCCAAACACTAATGTGACACAAAGAATAGTTACAAATATTGTATTTTCTGCATCTCGCACATATCATCCCAAGAAATCAGTAACTGGAATGCGTGGTATCTTTTTTTTTTTTTTTTTTAAATAAGGTCAGTGCTCCAGAAGGTGCTGGACACCTCTAAAACACATGCAGAAACAGCCTCCTCAAGTGCCCACTGACCTGGGAAACAGTCATCGTTGGTGGCTAGCTATATGTCAAAAC